TGTGGCCTTGGAAAGGGCCACCAGTTCCACTGCATTACTGGGGTTCTCGCTGTCCACCTTGGAGAAGGAGCAATACTCTCCAACTTCGTCGTTTCCACTAATTTAAGAAATGTTTAGGGGCCAACAGGTGGCAGAGTGGTTGAGGGTGCTGGACTCCCACATGGCCGACTGCGGTTCAAATCCTGAACCTGGTAGCTTTCTCTCTCTCTCTCTCTCTCTCTCTCTGTCCCTCTCTGGTCAAATTAAAATAAATAAAGTAAAGTTTTACAAAAAAGAATGTTTAAATAAATAAATAAATAAAAAAGAAATGTTTGTAGAATTCATACCTAATACACAATTTAGGACAGTCATGTCTGCTTAAAAGTCTTATTTGCCTGTTAAAGTCTGCAGATTATTTCATGAATGCTGTCAAATGTGTAAGTTCCAAATGTTTGTGTTTACATGTGACCCTCTTGTCATCAGTACAGATTGTCGTATCGTTGTGTCTAATATGGAACTTTTTGTTGGTTTGTTTTTCTTGAGAGATTTTTGCTATAGGATACATGCACTCACCAGAGAGACAGAACAGTAGAAATCACCCCCTAAGGGGCATGGCCATGCCGCAATCCCTTCTCCTCCATTTTCCTCTCGGGATTTTAGACACACACGCACACTAGTCCGGTGTGAGTCACAAGCCTCTGGGTCCGGGACTCTAACCACAGTTGACTACATGGAAGTCCAGTAACATAACCATTTCTCAGTCTAGCGGTCCCTGCTTTATCTTATTAGGGAGTTATATTTCAGTGTTTAAAATATGGTGTGCTATACTAGGTATAAAATAAATTCTTTACAACAGAAAAAAAATGAAATAAAATGGACAACTCCAGGACCCTATCTACTTAATCATGACAAAATAGAAAATATGAGCAGAACTTTACCCAATAAATATATAGAAATAGTGATCCAAACTCGTCAACAATGAAAAGCCAACAATAGATGGCTGCACTTTAAATTCTATCAAACACTTAGAAATCAATGCCAATTCTTTTAGTGCTTTATCTTATTAGGGAGTTATATTTCAGTGTTTAAAATATGGTGTGCTATACTAGGTATAAAATAAATTCTTTACAACAGAAAAAAAATGAAATAAAATGGACAACTCCAGGACCCTATCTACTTAATCATGACAAAATAGAAAATATGAGCAGAACTTTACCCAATAAATATATAGAAATAGTGATCCAAACTCGTCAACAATGAAAAGCCAACAATAGATGGCTGCACTTTAAATTCTATCAAACACTTAGAAATCAATGCCAATTCTTTTAGAATCTTTCTTAAAAATCGAAGAAGGAACACTTCTCAGCTCTCTCTCTCTCTCTCATTGTTTTAGAGGTGTATTTTCTTGCTGGAGAGACAGAGAGAGAGAAAGATACAGAAAGTGAAAAATAACTCCCTCCCAAAGGAGATGGTCACATTACATTCATTCACTGTACATCATTACAGCATACAAAATGAGATTTTCCATCCAGAGTACACTGTATATTGTCTCAATCAAGCACATCAACATACATGTTATTGTCAGCAAATAATTTTCCATTTCTTGTTTCAAGTATGATTTGCTTTTTTTCCCCCATGTTTGATTCCCTATCTCTTACTCTCCGTCATTTCCCACGCTCCTCCCACACTGCCTCTAGTATCTATGTTTGCTTTCTATACTGTTTTCCCCCCACATTGTATTGAATTACTAAATTTCAATACATTTTCATAATAAAAACACTCAACAAATTAGGAATCGGCATACTTTACCGCAATGTAATGAAGTACACATATAAAGATCCCACAACTAATGTCATATTCAAAGGTGAAAAATGGACAGCTTTTGTTCTGAGATCAGAAATCATGCAAAGATGCCCAGTTTTACCACTTCCATTCAAAACAGGACTAGAATTCCTCGCCAAAGCAATTAAATAAGAAAATGAAAGACATCCAAATCAGAAAGCCAGAAGAAAACTTATCTCTGCTCTCAGACACCATATCATTACATGTAGAAATCCCTAAAGATTAATAAAAAATTACTAAGAGTAATAAATTACATAAATTAGTAAAATAAATCAATATTACATCAATTGTGTTTCTATCCTTAAACAATACAATATAAAGTCAGATGAAAAGACCAAGGGAACAGAGTAGAGGCCACAAATAATCTTATACGGCCAACTGATCTCTGACAAGTATCTGAACAGATACAAGGAGAAATGACAGTCTCTTCCACACATGGTGTTGGGAAACTAGATATCCGGCAGTAGCAGAATAAAATTGGACCTCTATCTTATACTGTTCTCAAAAATCAATCAAATATTAAAGACTAATACAAGATATAGAACTACAAAACTTCCCAGAAAACATAGAGGATAAATTTTAAGACATTGATATATCAGCAGTGACTTGTTGGATATGACATGAAAAGCACAGGTAGCAAAAGTAAAAATTGGCAAGGAAGGCTAAAAGCTAAAATCAAACTAAAAGCTTCTTACTAGCAAAGGAAATAGCGAAATGAAACCCTACAGAATGGAGGAAATATTTACAAAATGAATATTTAAGAAAGGGTTACGGATGGCATAATGGTTACATCACTAGGCGCCCACAAGGCCAACCATGTTGGAAACAGCACCTTGAAACTCACACTGTGTGAATATGCGTGAATGCCCCAAATCCCAAGAGGAGAATGGACTACAGCATGGACATCCCCACTGAGAGGGTGATTTCCTACTGTCTATCTGTCTCTCTGGTGAGCGCACAGGCTTTATAGCAAAAATCTCACTTTAAAAAACAAACAAACAAAAAAAAAACACTACAACTCAGTAACATAAAATCAAGCAACTCAATTATAAATTGTACAAGAGGACCAGCAAATGGCATACTGGTTATGTCACTGGATTTCCACATGGCTGACCATGGTTTGAGGCCCAGACCTGGTGACTTTGAAATCAGGCCAGGCACATGTGTGCATGTGCCCAAGATCTTGGGAGGAGAATGGAAAAGAGGGGATTGAGACATAGTTAACCCCCTCGGGGGGTGATTTCTCACTTTTCATCTCACTGTGTCTGTCTCCCTCTCTCTCTCCAGCAAGCATATGTGCCCCATGGCAAAAACTTCTAGGGACCAGCAGTTAGCGTAATGGCTATGTCGCTGGACTCCCACGTAGTCGACCACAGTTCGCGTCCCAGACCCAGTGGCTTAAAACTCACGCCAGGCGCATGTGCGTGTGTGCCCAAGATCCCGAGAGGAGAATGAAAGAGAAGGTATTGAAGTGTAGTCATCCCCCCTGGGGAATGATTTCTCGCTTTCTGTCTCTCTGTCTCTGTCTGTCTGGTGAGCACACACGCACTATAGCAAAAACCTCTCAAGAAAAAAAAAAACAAAAAACCTCTAAAACACAAAATTTTTGTGAAAGAACTTAAATAGACATTTCTCTAGTGAGGGTATATGAAAGTCCAATGTGTTAATGAAATAGGGCTGAATATCATTAATCCTGAAAGGAAATAGAGAAATAGAGGTCATAGCTCAGTGAGATCACTTCATTTATTTTGAGATCACAGGAAGTTAAAGAAAAAACAACAACCAAAAAAACCAGGCCCAGCCCCACAACCTAGTGTTTAAGGAAGCTGGATCACACATGACTCACTGCAGTTCAAGTCCCATCCTCAGGGGTTTGAGAAAAACGCCGGGAACGTGTGTGTGCTTGCTCAGAACCCCAATAGGGTGGAGAAGAAATTGAGATGTGACCACACCTCAGTGGGGGTATTTCCTATCTCTCTCCATCTCTCTCTGGTAAGTGCACACATGCTGGCAATTAAAAATTGTAAAACAATCAGAAAATGACAAGGGTCAGTGAGGTCATAAGGAAACTGAAACTCCTGCACACCTTCCATAACTATGTAGTGTATGCATTTGTGATCATTTTTAATAAACCTGCCATATACACGGGTTTTTCAAACATATTAAAAATAGAACTACTGCATGATCCAGCAGTCCCACTTCTAGGAATTTATCACAAATAATTGAAAGCAAAATGTTGAACATATTTTCACTCTCAGATTTATTGCAGCATTATTTACAATAGCCACAAGGCAGAAATAACCTAAATATTCTCTGATAGATGAATAAAGAAATTGTGTTATATACATAGAATGGAATAGTAATAAACCAAAATAAATAAAGATATTCTTGTACATGCTACGACATATGTAAACCTTGGGGTTATTATGTTCAGTGAAATAAGTCAGTTGTGGAAGGACAAACACTGATAATTCCATCCATAGCACCTGCAGTTAGATGTGCAAGGAGAATACAGAATATGTGTAGTTCCCTGCAGGTAGACATGGTTTGAGTCCCAGACCTGGTGACCTGAAAATCAGGCCAGGCACAGTGCCATAACCATATTGAAATGTAAGTAGTAGCTGTTTTGTATTAGTATGACATGACGTTCTATATTTCCTAGACTTGCAGAAATTGGTAAAAATATTGAATATATATATATATATACACACACACACACACACATAAATATACACACACACACACACACACACACACAAATAGATAAATGGATGACTAGACAGAGGGAAGGATAATTAGATAAGACAGATAGCTAGAAAGACATGGATATTTAAATAGACATTTAATAGTTATAGGCATAGGAATTGTCAATGGTTTGTTTGTGATAAATAAGGGAAATTGGAAACATTGTTCTCTAATAGTAGTAAGCATATACAGTTTCCAGATGTTAAAGTCAAAAAGTTTATGCAAGTGTTTTATATATTCTACAGATAATTAACTCACCCGATACAATCAGTATTTAGAAAATGCATATTGGTGGTTTCTAAATAACCTTTCAGCTTAAAAATCACTTTAATATTAAGTAGTTAAGTTTTCTAAAAGGCACAAAGTTACTAGTTCTGGTTTAAAGAGCTAGGAGGAAACAATGAGGTTTGAAAACATTGGAAACAAGCGCTTACCCCTGCAGGTCACTTCGGGGTCCCATCTCCCATTTATGCAGACGGAGTGTTTGGATTCCGCTTTTCCTCTGCATTTGTAGCTTATGTTCTGGTTATGATCGTATTCAAGCTTATTGGGTAGGTTTGCCTCATTTACAGTTGACTTTGATATTTTACACTTCTCAAGTTGATCTGTTGCTATAAAATGAAAATAATCTCATGAAAAGTCAAATTATGAGAATCAAACCGACTATTACATAAAAGCAGCAATAGAGGGCCAGCCAGGTGGTTAGAGAGTGCAGCTCACAGCGATGCTGAGTTCATGTGGAAGATGACGGCCGACCTGTACACGGTAGATGTGCATAAGCAAGTCCATGATCCTGGCTGCCATGAAAGTGAGGGCAAGATTGAGGTATGAGACCAGTCGAGGGTGCCTTTCTTTCTTCCTAATGTTCTCTCTCTCCCATTCTCCACCCCTCTGTCTCTCACTCTCATGAAAGAAAAAAATAAGCATTAAAAAGCTATAGACTCAGGGGCCAGCAGGTGGCATGGTGTTTAAGGGTTCTGGATTCTCACATGGCCAACCACACTTTGAGTCCCAGACCTGGTGGCTTGCTTTCTCACTTGCATGCTCTCTCTCTCTCTTTCTCTGTCCTTCTCTGGTCAAATTTAAATAAATAAAATAAAATGAAATAATTATTTTTTAAAAAAGCTGTAGAGTCAAGAGTATAATGAAGTTATGATTTATACCTATAAATTCTACCAGTCAAGCTATTCCTAATCACATTGCATAAAATAGGCTTTTAAGTATGATCATAAGTTCTACGTTTAGTCTTTGAAATATAAGAATGAGTATCTGTCATAAAGGTATTTTCCATTTTGGGGAACCAGCAGTTAGCGTAATGGCGATGTCACTGGACTCCCACGTAGTGGACCGCGTTCGCGTCCTGGACCTGGTGGCTTAAAATTCATGCTGGGCGTCGAGGCACTGGACTCCCATATGGCAGACTACGGTTTGAAACCCTGACCTGGCAGCTTGCTATCTCACTGTCTCTCTCTCTCTTTCTGTCTGTCTGTCTCTCTCTGTGAGTGCACTCAGTAATAATGATAAATAAATACATTTTTTTTAAAAAAAAAAAAAAAAAGAAAAGATATTTTCCATTTTGAGAACTAGTAGACCTTGTATGCTCATTTTTGGAGATGATTTATATTCCATTTTTGAAATCTGTGCAAGTGTCCACACTTATTTGTGTTCCTGACCTCAAACACCTGTATTTTATTTTTAATCCATATAACTAAAATATGAAAACATAAACAATATAAAAACATTATCTACGGGAATGTTTAATAAAAACATTATCTTTGGGAATGTAAGTTGCTAGCTAAAATATATTTGTTTTTAAAGTTTATTTCTTGTTTTTCTTTTTTTCTTTTATATTTTTGGAGAGGTCTTTGCTATAGGGTGTATACACTTGCCAGATTGAGACAGAGAGACAGAAAGCGAGAAATCACCTCCCAGGGGGATGACCACACCACAAACCCCTCTCCTCCATTCTCCTCCTGGGATCTTGGGCACGGACGCGCATGCACTTGGTGTGAGATTAAGCCACCAAGTCTGTGACTCAAACCACGGTGGATTACATGGGAATCCAGCGACATAGTCATGACACCAACTACTGATCCCTAAAGTTTCTTTCTTTATAACAGAGAGAGATATTGATTTTTGACATAATCTCACCGTGCCATGATCTTTCCTAACCCAGTCTCCCAGCTAGCTGGAACTACAGCCATGCTACAGCAATGCCCAGCCCCCTGCTCAGCTTGTTTTGGTTGGGCCAGGAATTGAACCTCTGCCTAAGCCTCTGAGTGGCAGCACCATGGCAGTATGTGCCTCCATGGATGAAATTATATATATTTTTTTTCAAGAACGTTTTTCTGTTTTTTGTTTTGTTTTGTTTCATTTTGTTTTGTTTTGTTTTTGCTATAGGGTGTTTGTGTTCACTGGAGACAGAGAGAAAGAGAGACAGAAAGTGAAAAATCACCCTCCCCCATGGGGGATGGCCACGCTGTAATCCCTTCCCCTCCATTCTCTTCTCAGGATTTTGGGCATACATGCACATATGTACAGTGTGAGTTCTGTGCTGGTGGGTCCGGAACTCAAAGGCCGTGGACCTCATGAGAATCCAGCCATGTAACCATTCCACCATCTGCTGGTCCCAGGATAAATGATTATTAAGTTTCATTCTTCATGAAAGGAAGACAAAGAGACAGAGAGAAAGGGGAGCACTCTCCACAGAGTCATAGATTGCATGTCTCTAGAGGCCTAGGCATGAGTTCTTCCCAGCTAGCTGGGATAATGAACATATATGTGCACCCCCAGCACATACAACCCGCCTAGAACCAAACACATATGACTTCCCGGGTTGCAGAGAGTCTATGACCACTGTCCATGGCAGCTGGGCCATGAACTCATATTTTAATCACGTAACAATTTGTAAATAAAATGTAGCTTCATACTTTTCAAAATAAATGATCGGGGATAGAAAGATTTATATAATTCTACAGCTACTTTTATGTTTTCTCTGTAGGCACATACTGACTTATAAACAGCAAAAGTTTAGATTAGGGTGCCAGTGAGGTGACGTAGTGGTTGGGCCAGCTGGATCCCACATGACTGACAGCTTGGATTCAGTCCTGGTCCAGGCCAACTGAAGTACACCCAGCTGTGTTTGTGTGCCGCCAAGAGAACAGAGAAGAAGTATCATGGTGTGGTCATCCTCTCTAGGGGGTGCTTTTCACTTTCTCTCTCTCTCTGTCTCTCTCTGGTGAGCACAGGCATCCAACAGCAAATTTTAAAAAAAAAGAAAGAAAAAAAGTTTATATTCATGATATTTAAGACAGGACATTTTCAGGAATATAAATTTTACATATATGATTACAAATATTTTTGAGAAGTTTTTGCTATAGGGCACGTGCGCTTGCCAGAAAGAGAGAGAGAAAGCAAGAAATGTCCCCCCAGGGGAGATGGCCACACCGAATCCCTTTTCCTCCATTCTCCTCTCAGAGCATGCATGTACACATGCCTGACATGAGTTTACGCCACCGGATCTGGGACTCAAACTGTGGTCTGCTACATGGGAGTCCAGCGATATAGTCATTATGCCAACTGCTGGTCCCACGAATATTTTGACAATAAAAATACTAAACTCTGTTAATGTCAATTTGAAAAGTGTGTTCGCACCAACACAGCTAGGAAGTTGGGTCCACGTTCCTTTAACGCACGTCACTGTTCCGTGTCCGATCATCGTGAACGTTTCTCTGCAGCTGAACTCCACGGAGTCTCCATGGCGATAGGGAGGGTCAGGAGGCTGGACGTAGCCGTGGTCGAGTTCCGGTATGTCTCCGCAGGTACTCTTCTCCTCTGTGGAATTACACATGCAAAAAGTTTATCATTAAAATATAATTACTATCTTTATATAAAAGCAAGAAAGTATTGATTTAAGTATGAACAGCAATATTTGTGCATGTTACCAATACATATAGGCAAGGTTGTCCACGTTCCATCAACACATTGAATCTTCTTTGGCCCCTTCATCAGAAATCCAGGCTTGCAATGGAATTCCACTTGGTCCCCGTGCGTGTATTCCGTTTCCCTGGTTTTCTCGATGTCCCCATTGGGAAGCTCAGGAGGAGGACCACAGGTGCTTACTTCAGCTACAGAGGAAATACCAGGTAAATAATAGCTACGTGGTCGAATTTCTTGTTTTAAAGATTCAGCAAAATGAAAGTATTTTCTTCTTTATTTTATTATTTATCATATTATTTTTAGGGTATTCTTTCTTAAAAAGATGTATTTATTTAATTCTATTTGTTATTACTATTTTTTAATTAGGCCAGAGAGAGAGAGTGAGAGAAGGGAAAATGAAAAAAAAGCAAGTCACCAGGTTCATGACTCGAACCACGGTCTGGCAAGTGGGAATCCAGTGCCCTTAACCACCACACCACCAGTTGGTCCCAGCGCATTCTCAAATAATGAAAGAAGAATTATGTTCACAGATTTCTACTTCCGGGTATATTCTGTGCAGTGAACTAGCATCAGAGGTATGTTTAGAGGTTCCAATGTGTTCAGCAATCCACAAGTTTTTAAGATGAATGCAAAATTATTAGAAAATGTGGTTCTGTGTATTATATTGATTTTCATATTGTATGACAATATTTCATTGTAACTTTTGGGAAAAGGTGGCAGAACTGAGGTAAGCATTCAATCAACAACTTTTAACTGTCATAAGCAACTGAATTGACAATACACCATTTAGATATTGTTGAAACACACTCAGGGGAATGTGAGGTAATCTCATGTAATATTGATGGTATTGTGGGCAAAACAAAAAATAAGAGAAGTCCTTCCACCCTCCTCCACCACACAGGTATCCATGCATACCACCAATACACATTTCGAGAAATAGTTGGACAGGGACTTCTTAAATAAGAGAATCTGAAGGGTCTACCACCTACTGGATGTCCTTCATGGTCTATGTCTTTCTTCATGGATTAGAATAGAGAAACAGTGAAACACCCAGAAAAAAAAATTCAAATTTCAAAATTCAAATTCCTTATCAAGAAGTGTAAGCTACACATTCACCTTTACATACTGGGACATCAGGGGACCATCCAAAGGGGTAGCACTGAACTGAATCTGGTCCAACTCTTATAAATCTCTGTCGGCAGGAGAATTTCAGCACATCTCCAACTCTGTATTTCTCTTGATTGGGATAAGCAATTAAGTTTTGTTCTATTTCTGGAATCCTGCATTCTATTTCTAGGGAAAAAAAAGGTAAAATGATTAACGAGACTATGTAATTAATCATTACTGAAACTGCTTAACTGCCGTGCAAAACTGAGGGAGGTGTGTGGATGCACATTCACAGGAGCACCAGATACATCCTTCTCCTTGAAAACACGTTACAGGTGAGGTTTCAGACGCTCCCTAAATTCACGTGGGACTCTGCAACATAGTCAGGCATGGGACAGAATTCTAGGGTAAGTCTGTGCAGAGAAAGCTGGACCCCACCTTGCCTACCACAGAGAGAGCCATGGCTACAGGACCCTAAAACACACAGGTGTGTGGACTTGCAGGCCTGGGGTCCTAATGGAAGGAGGGATGGAAGAAAGGGGATGAAAAATGGCAAGGCCTCACTGGGGGGCTCTTTCTTATGTGCCCTCTGAAATAAATAAACTACAAAAAAAATGTTTTTAACTTGGGCTACAATTACTGTACTGCATACGTACTTGAGGAACCAGACAGAACAAGAAAAGC